CGCAACGGAATGTTCATTGACGTAACTGAAGAAACACCATGTACTCTCCCGATGACCTGACAGAATGCTTCTCGCCAGGCGGTAGCATCTAAAGCTGGATTTGGCTCTCCACAAAGAATACTGCCAGACCTGAGCCTATACTGTGGCGTGTGTGCCACCGGCAAGCGATTGATGGGTGTAGCATAGATCGATGTGCCTTTCTGATCTTTGTGGTCTCGCTGTTCCAAAGGCACCAAAGGCCGACGCCAATCTTCTTCAGCCGCCGTCTCCAAATACTCTTGCTGCTCTGGAGTCCTTTCTGGTCGTTCACGAAGCAAATCTAAATCCGCGCCTCCATCAAATTTGCAAAGATCACGCGCCACCTTGCTGACGCCGAGCTCGGGGCCGAGATCCAAACATCCCAGCATTCGTGGAGCGGCTTGAACAGACGCATGCGAGATACTCTCGAAACTTGCAACCGAGATATGCATAAACTGCTTCATGCGGAGCTGTAATTCCTCCGGCTTGTGCTTCAACAAGGAAGCCAAGTCACTCAGAATTTGCAAGTGATTGCATACCAACCAAACCAGAATGTGAGGATGCAAAGATCCCCGCCCCTGTGCTTCAATCTCTCCGCGAAAAGCCAAGACGGGGCCCGACATACCGGCACTTGTAGTTGCAGCGGCTGCACCATCCGTGCACCATTTTTGAGTGTACAGTCTTGCCGTCTGTCTCCGACACTCCAAAGTTTCTGGGCGAACATTCAAGACGCGCTGAAAGAAGAGGCGCATCAGAAACTCAAACTGCACAGTTTGGCCCACCGGATCTTGCGCTAGGCCCTAGGCGACGAAGCATATCGCGGTACTTGGGCAGATCATCTTGCAGACTTTCATCGATGCAACCCAAATCAAGCTTTTCACCCTGAACAATCAGTAACAAAGCATGCTGCGTGTCGGCCAAGTTCGGCGTCACAAAAATCAAGGGCGGTCCAAAAGTTTCCATATATGCGACACCTTCGTGACGGCACATTCTGCGGTGACCGTCCGTGCCAATCACGTTGGCCGAGGCATTGTGCATGGCTTGCAGTGCATCTTTCACAGCTTGCGGCACATCTGTCTTCTGAAGCATTTGTTCCACGCTGCCTGCATTGTCGCTCGTGAGTCTAGCTGCCAACGCCAAATCCTGTGCAGACAAAGTGGAGACACTTTTCGCAAAGGTCATGCCACCATTTTTCAGAAATTGATACGAAGCAGCACGCTGATCGGTCAAACGACACACTGTAGACATCATATGCAAAGAAACCCAATCACCCGTGAAGCGATTCTGGACCGGAGCTTGATATTCGTCTTCATGCGGCAAGGTGTATTGCAGCTCCTCAAACGTTGCAGAAGAAACATTATAGACCGATGTTTTGGTCGAACAAAAGTTGCCCCAATTTTATGCTTATCTACGCTCAAAAGAAATAGTAGCTTTCCGATAAGAGACTTTCCAAATGGGATCGGCTCTCCAAGTACAACAACTTTTACATATATATATATATAAGCCCGCAGTAACAGCGTGGCCGCCCATTCAGCTGTGGCTAGTGGCACTTCTCGATCATAAAGGTTCGAAGCATCTCCATATCGCCAAAGACGTGGCTTCGCCATGCTCCAAATTTTCCAATCCCACAAAGACAGAGGTTTCTTGGCTCGTGCCACAAACAAATGATGAACCGCACGCTGATCTTCTGCAGCTGACTGCGCCCATCTCGATTTTCCCATAACAGCATCTCGCAACTCTCCCTCCAATTTTCTGCGGCACTCAGCGCCTGATAACTTCTGACAGGATTCGTGCACTTCTTTGCACAAGTCCAGAATGCGCTTGCGGCCAATGTAGTCTATCAAAGTGGTCTCCTCCTCCACCAGCGACTCCATCTCCAAGGCCACAGAGCGAGCGCCCGCCTGTTCAAGTTCCTCCAGCTTGGACAACAAAGTGGCGACGCGAGTCGCCACCTCATTTTGAGATTCATTGTAGTCGGAGACTTGCGGCTCCATCGCAAAGACTGTGGTCTGCTCGAAACCATCGCGAGACTCTTGGCGACCCTCTGTGGCCTCTGCAGGCCCTTGCTGTTTCATCTCTCCAGGTCCTTGTTGTCCCACGGGCACCGTCACTACGCAATCCAAAACTACAGGTGGCACAGCGCTATCTTCTCCTGCCAGCCATTCCGTCAAGATTTCCTGGTTGATCTCAGCCACTCCAGCAGCATAGACAGGGTTGGTCGTTTTCAATGCCTCTGCTTGTTGCACGAAAAGTTCTCGATGTAACTGCAATGGCGCGATTTTCCGAACAGCTTCTCGGCCTGCTTCCTGGCCTTGACTGGGCAGATCAGTGCAGAAAGTCACGGCCAAAGCGTCATTGAGTTTGCGAGGGAGCAACGATTCCAGTGCGTTTGTGGCATCTCCATTGTGAAACACAACTGCAGAACCGAGAAGACCACTTTGTTGAAAGACATGATCCCACTGCTGTCCAGAGGTGCCGCGACCAACATCCTGCTGCACGCCACCTGCACGCAAAACGACTTTGGTCGCCACATCTCATGCGTCAGATTGGCCTTCCACAACAAGGGATCCAAACGGCCAAGCCACAAATCATTCGCCAAAGCATACTTGCACAAGTGTGGCTTCTTCCCCGAAAACGAAGACACGCAATCGAAGCAAGCACCAACTGTCCGAATACCTTGGGTCGCCTCTCTTCCTACCCTCCGTTTGTGTAAGAGCACATAAAAAGGCTTCCCATCGGAACCCATGTTCACGCATGAAGCTCTCAACTCCTGGTCCAGGACTGACATGAAAGATTCAAATCAAACAATTGTGGCAGTCTAACCAAACTAAATAGAAAAGTTATACAAATACGATCACACTCTCACACCGGACCTCTGTGGGTATCAGAGGCCATCGCTGTTGGTACCGTTCCATAGACAAAAGCTTCCATACGTTGTCTGGACTGGCCATGAAACAATTGACACCAGAGAGGTATACATCTTGCAATTGCTCTGCCCAGAACAACCGTGCACAGAAAGCGCAGCCAACACGACAACGCAAAGGTAACTTAGAAAATGTCTTCGGAGCCCCTGCGTCGTCGTCACCACAGGGAGGCGAGTCAGAAAATCCTTCCCCATCCATAGCTGCGTGCCGCAGAAAAGTTGCATAATTGCCGACATAGTGTCGCACCTGTGCGTCACTTTGTGTAAAAGAAAACCGTTGCAAGTTGGAAAACACAGCAATGAACCAAAGTAGAACCAATTGAAACATACAAAGCCAACGCAAAACCAGTCCGGTGCCTCACTGCCCACAACTACATGCGGAGTCAAAGACTCCAAGTGTAACATTGCATTCCGATATCGCTGTAGTCCACCATGCTCTGCGTCGATGTGTTCCAGCAAATCTGAGCGACAGGAAAAACCACAATCGCAAAGCAAACATGGCTGCACTTCAACGCTCTCCGGTTGTGTGTTCCATTCTCTCAAATTCTCCATATCACACGCACGACGAAGATGATGTGTGGCCTTGAAGCATTCGAAAGGGTTGTCTTCTTCATTGACATGATCTCTGCGAGCCCCATCGGAATTGCCAGAGCCGGCAGCACCACCAAACAGAACACGCTGTCTTTTTTGGGATTCACGATCCTGTCTAGGATCAACACGACCCTGTTGATTCTGCTTGTTCTTTCTTTTGCAAGATTCACGCTCCTGTCTAAGATCAACACGACCCTGTTGATTCTGCTTGTTCTTTCTTTTGCAAGATTCACGATCCTGTCTAGAATCAACACGATCCTGCTTTCTAGCAGTTCTGCTCTGCTTTCTGCCTCCATGTGCACGATCAAAGCTGCAGAAGAAGGCGGCCAAGCCCCAAAACAATGAAGCAAGATCTCTTCCATGGACAATGCGCGCCCGTCAACAGAAGCAGGTGGATCAACAAGCAAGTGGACGCCATCATTGTGAGGAACGGGACACGCGACAGCTCCTGTACGATGCGGATAATTTCATCAAACAGTAGACAAAACTCCTAATCTAAAAACACTAGAAAACGTGAATCATACAAAAGGCCAAGGTTATGTGAGAAGAAGCTAACCCCTATTTTTTCTACCCAAAGAACTTGCACAGTAACCACCCAACCTTGCTCTGGATGTGCTTGATTTGCCAAAATCAGATTTTGATCAGTCACACAGGTACGGAGCAATGTTGCGCAACACTCAGACACATCTGAATACGCTGCCTCTCCCACTTGAAATTTTATAGGCTCTGCACGGTGCAGCTCAGATACAAGTTCAAAAGGAGCGAGAAAATCCCAGCGATTCTCCGCCAATCGATGCAGTAAGGAGCTGAGCAGCTTTCCAAGCGAACCCTTCTCATCTTCGGCGCTGCCAATATCTTTGCGTAAAGGACCACAGGCACGAAAGCATTGTACAAGGCTGTTCACATAGCATGTGTTGCCAAGGGATCGCAAGCCAGCCCAGCTTGTTGACGTCGCCAAACCACTGGTCCCGGTAGGTCGACTACCATAGTCCAAGCGCAACACCAGCCCCAAGTCCTGTAGCCATTCCACTCCAGGCTGCTGGGCCACCTTTTCCACAAGCCAAAAGTCTTCCATCAGCAAACGCTCTGCCGAAACCAATTCAGAACCCGTGCCTTCCGCTGCAAACCGTTGAAGTTTGGCAGGCAACGGCTTCTCGGTCGAACCTTCTGTAAACCAAAATTGAAAACACTGCTCCATGTCGTTCTGGATCGCCTCCCTGCCTCGAGCTTCAAATAAACGAGCTTGAGTAGCTTGCAAGGCCTCCAGCGATTCACCACGGGTCACATTTAACTCACGCAAATCCTGCTCAGCTGCTTCCCGAGTAGCACGAGGTGGACCGAATACGGTCTGCTTACCTTTTGCGACCCTCGCCCTGAATGATTTGCCATGTGCCTGCACTGAACCAGCAACAAGAGAATCCTCGAGTGTATTGTTCTGAAGCAAACGAGCTTGCGTAGCTTGCAAGGCCTCCAGCGA